CTTTTTTTTTTTCCCTTTCCAAATAACCTAAAAAATGTCAGTAGTGATTTAAAACTTCTATAATCGCATGTTGTTTTTTTTACTCATAAGAAACGAAATGGCAAACCAAACAAAACCCTTACCTGATCACCCTCATCTTGACGCAGAAGCAATCTAGGCACCTTCTCCTTCAGAGCGGAGAAGAACCTGAAACAAGGACAAAGTGATTATGTCACAGCTTTAAACGAACGACTGACACATATCGCCCTGCCGCCTGGAAGCAAAGGGGGGGGGGGAGTTCTGTTTTTTTTTCCTTTTTTTTCTGTCTTTTACTTTTTGATTTTATTCTGCCGCACGTCTCAATTTTGTCCCGTTCTGTGCGAGCTAGATGTTGGTTAATGGTATTCAAAATGCCAAAAGGTGAAAGAAAAACCATCCAGCAAAAACATACTGTGTTTATTATGGGGTATTTTTTTCTGGAGAGAAGCATACGGTAACATTAATGATACAAAGTTAATGATGTGTACGATTTTACAGTAAAGGCAATGATGGCGTTACTGAAGACGTAGACGATGAAGACGATTGTGATAATGATGATGACAACAACAACGACGATGACGCTGATGACGCTGATAATGATCACGAGGAGGAGGAGGAGGAGGAGGAGGAGGAGGAAGAAGAGGAGGAGGAGGAAGAAGTGGACGAGGAGGATGAGGCGGAGGAGGACGAGGACGAGGCGGAGCGAGGAGGAGGATGGGGAGGAGGAGGATGGGGAGGAGGAGGGAGAGGAGGAGGAGGGTGAAGCTAATGATGTTTCCACACTACATATGTACCAATTCGCAGCAAAAAAATGAACATTTGACGAAGAAGTCATACATTATCAAAATTACAAACACATGCAAAAATGTCATAATGATGTTAATCATTTCTATAACACCAAAAGATATCTTTGGCGACGAAACGCATATTATGCACGTTTCTGCAGATTACCTCAGCTTACGGCGAATGTCGAAGGGATCCATCACGTGTGAGAATACAGGGTTCAGTTCACACGATGTAAAGTTAACACAAGGTTCAGTTCATACGAAGTTCAGTCTCACAGAGTTTGGTTCATGCACGACACAGTCCAGTCCATACGGCGTGACGTTAACTACATTTGATCAAACTCTCACTTCTCAGCTATTCCCCAGGAATCCCCACTCAATTCAAAGTTGTGTAATATTACAACAACACAACAAAGTAAACTAACTGAAAAATGTATTTAAAAAAACAAAAACAAAAAAACAATAATACGTTTTGCAGAGCCCTGAAAGGTCACACCCAACGAACACTGAAAGGTAAAATGTCATAAACAACGCAACCAATGTAATGACCAGGATCACGTTCAAATGCAGCAAGCAATGTAAACAAATTTCAAAGATTTATGTTACACAATCTAGAAACCTTTTTGAAAAGTAAAAAGGATCTCAATTTTTTTTCAAAGACATATCTCACAACCCAGCCCCCTGGGCGAGATTTCAAATACAAATCATCCCGATTCAATGCGTCGATAGTCGTTTGTTCGTTGAAGTAGAGAGAAGCACATCGACACTATAATGGTTATTTGGTGCTGAGGGGAAATTAAGACAAACAGACAAAAACAACAAAGGAAAAGTAGTAAAGAAGTAGGACCTACCAGTGGCGTCCTCCAACCACCAGCTTGCGTTGGTAAAGCAAATCCCATGAAATAAGAACTCTTTAGTTTAGTTTTAGTAGAGGTTTTTCGGCGCTCGCAACTGCATAAGGCCATAATATGAGCGCCAGAAGATTAGAGGAGTTACAAGAGAGTAATAAACATCAAAAAGACGAAGGGGAGAAAAGGACGATAGATGTTTGATAGGAAAGAAGAAACCAACCACACCAGAGCACCCGCCAACCACCCACATAAGAACACTGCCAGGAACTGTACGTAACAGTGACAGTACTTATAGCAATACTAACAACAACAGTACAGGTCATAACGAAAACAACAACAACAACAACAATAACAACAACAACAAAAACAATAACAACAAAAGCAAGAACGATAATAACAACAATAATAATACTGTATAACCCCATGGGCACAACTGAACCAAATAAGAGGTTGGTTGGTTGCTTCGATCTGCCAGTCAGGGCCAACCCCAGTGAAAGGAGAAAAGGGATAGATCTATAGAAGAAAGTCCGAGCCGATCTACAAAATAAACTTTCCCACGCGGGGATGAACTCACCTCCCTTGAGTTCAGGGAAAAGAGCGTAACGACTTCACCACGGACGCTGGTAACTGCAATTTATTCAGCAAATGTTATTCCTTTCGTAAAAGCAAAAATACGAAACAAAACAAAGCAACGAAAACGGAAATAGCAATGACCTTGTCCTTCTTGTGACCGTTCATTCTCGCAATGGTTGTTGCTCCCACTCATACTTCTCTTGAAACAAATTATATATATTACTAGATCTATATGAACAATCGACGGACAATAGGTAGGTACGTGGTCTCACATTGTACTTTATCATGCCCCCACTCCACTTCATCATCATACTGCGTCTTGAAATACGTTAGAACACTTAATATGAAGCGATATAAACTTGTACAATACTTTACTTACTTCCTAGTATACGAGAAAAAAAGCCAAACACATGTTGTTAGTCCTTATATCCCACTAGCACGGACAGCAGACAGTATAACACAGTAGGGAACCTCGGTGTGTTGTACACACAGAGAAAGCCTACGCTGTGCTAAGCCACGACGTTTGTTAACGCTCTCAAGGCAAAAAGTTCCATTTTTTTAAACAGAAAAATACCCAGTGCACACTGCCGACATGATTCATCGGATTGAGTCAGTTGGTAGGTGACGCGTGCTCTGGTGTGGTCTGCTCCTTCTATCATTTCAAACAAACATCTAGCTTCCTTATTTCTCCATCTATTCTGTGTATGTTACGCTGTGGTAACACCTCTGATCTGAGGCATTTATATGACCTATTTGAGTTGAAAAAGTCGTAAAGCTCTTACTGAAACTGAACTAGAGGACTGAGTCGAGGGTAGCCAGATTTTCCTTTATGGGTGGGACAAAAGCTATTATTTTGGCACAAAACAACCGAATTCAACTAAATTGGACTGTGATTTTCGAAATCAAACGCGTTTGTTTTTCAAGAACGCGAGTCGAATCGCTTGCGTTGAGCCAAAATATGACTGGTCCCGATACAATCTGATGAATCCGATTGGCGGTGTGCACTGGTAATATACAACACAACCGTGGCAGACGGTGTCTAAATATAAAAACGCGGCCTGCGTTTTCTCAAGCGGACTGAATAAGTAAGTCGATCTGTCCAGGCGGCGGGACAGGGCGGGGAGCAGTGGTGCAAGACGGACGGGTGTACGTACAGAACGCCCAAGGTCTCTGCATGACCTCCGAGAGGTCAAGGAAGCCAAGGAAGGCCATTAAACTACGCCTGGGCGCAACCCAAGTTGGAACGCCCCCCTGTCATAAACTATACTGTGGTTTGATAAAGCATTGGTCATTGTTTTGGTTTGGCGCTTCTTTGAACGCTGTTGGGTTACTTAGGAGGCATGACCTCAGAATATTTGACGTTCATTTAATTTTTTTTTTTCGTTATTTTAAACAGAGTTTCTCAGCACTTGCAACACAATTAGGTCATTCATATGCCCAAGATTAGAGTAAAGAGTCACATTCAAATAAAAGAAGTAGGGAAGTTAAAGACGGTAGATGTTTGATTTTTAAAAAAGAAGGATCAAACCACCCCAGAGTACCCGCTAATCACCCACTAATTACAACTTCAAAGAACCCCGATATAGGAAGGAGAGGGTGGGTACAATTCCTTTTATAAATCGCAACCCATTTAACTCGATCATAGCATCGGGGAAAATCGCCAAACTTCAGATCTCGCCTCCCATGCTCGAAGATGGGTTCAATACGTATTATTACACCAACACGTCATGTTCATATAGCAAGAAAACTGCATTACTACATTACACATTGCATTCAGTTTGATACCGCTGATACAGCCCCAGAGAAGCATAAGTTAAATATGAGAGATTCCTGTCTCAAAGGGCAAAGTTGATTTGAATAAAGTGAAGTATACCACAACGATAGGGGCTGTTTGGTGCAGATTAAAGCAAGATAGACAGAAAAACAAGATGGACACAAAAAGTAAGAACTATCAGTGGCGCCCTCCAATGACCCACTCAAAAAGTAAACGGCCACTGTTCACAGTTGTGAGTGTGTATCTAAGGGAGAGAGAGAGGGGGGATGGAGAGAGAGAGAGAGAGAGAGAGAGAGAGAGAGAGAGAGAGA